CAAATTTAGTGATGTTTGTGATACAAACGATACTACACTTGAAAAAACACAAAACGTAACGATGTTTTACTAAAAAATGTTACTAATTATTTATTTTCATGTAGTGAATCAAATTAGTCCAGGACTTGGCAATAATGAGTTTGTAAACAGGTACTTTGTCTTTCTTAATTTCTTAAGCAGCTTTGCTCATATCTGGCTTTATGGCACTTGTAGTTGTTACTTCGTTTTGCTAATCACTTTCGAATCGTGACAACATTGATGCTGTAAAGCTGAGGATTCTTCTTTCGTGAATGTTTAAAAATTACTGCTATGGGGAAGGTATTGCACTGTTGATTAGGTTAGGATAGGCCTTATAAGCTTGCTGGGATGGGCTGTCATATTAATTCAACAAGTTGCATCTGTATATGCTGATGTTTACATCAAAAAGAAAAATGTCAAAACCATTATAGCCGACAGCTTTGTTAATTGTCGAAGTCGGAATATTTTGCAGATAAGGCTACTTATTCCTTTGTGATCTTGATAAATAAATAAATAAATTTTCAATGAGTAACAAGTATATAGTTGTATTTTAATTACGCGACGAAGCGTGAGTTCAAAACGTAGTTAAGATAAAAATTATCAAAGATTAAAATTTAAAACGCTACCTAAAAAAACCTTGTAAAGAAAAGAGACAATAAGGGTAATTTATTCTTTGTAAAAAATATTTTAGATGAAGAAGCAAAAAAAAAAAAAAAAAAAAAACACAACAACAACCTCGCTTTCACTCCTTCAATAAAAAAAGCAAGATAAATTTTACCGAAATAATTGGTGACAGATTTTTAAACTTAAAACTTCGATGACGAGAAGCTATATTTGTTCAAGTATACAAAAGTGACGGAAAAATGACTGCCCTTACCATTTCTTTATTAAGATTCTTTGCTTGGAACTGCCGCAGCAACATCGTACAATTATTCCTGAAACACATGTTTCATGCTGATACAAATCTAGCATTGAAGCAGACGTTTCGCACTGATATCAATCTAGCGTAACTGATGCATTTTTTATGATTGGGTGAACTAAATTGCAAAGGAAAGTCAAATCCGTCACGATTCTGGTGATTCACAGACTAGTGAAAGACGCAAAAGTATGATCAAAACCCATATGCATCACGATTTATGTAATTCGACAATCACGACTTAATTGAATTATATTAGTATTCCTCAATTCATTATCCACGCAAGGCAAATACCCAAATCTCGACAGGATATATCATGCAAGCAACCAATGGATTGGTCTAAATTTTGCTCTTACCCCTACTAATAGGGCAGGTTTAACACGAGGCATGTAAATCCAGGAGGCTTGCGCGTTTTGCATGCAGCACAGGGAAACTATGTCACACCTGTTCTACGAGTGTATAATGGTGCAAAAATGGTAGGAACAAGGTTATTATAGTGCCCATATTCCTCTTGGTCAATCTACCAACTAGGGGGACTGGGATCGAGCCAATGCCACATCCAAACATTGGTTCTACTTACATAAAGTGCCCTGGATTGTCGTTTTCATATGACTTTTATGGGAGACATGGATCACATGTAACTTAGCCATTTTTAAAGGAAACTTTGACAAGGAAAGGGTGGTCAGTAAAGCTTTGGAACGAGCCTCGAAATGCTATTCATTAACGGGAAAGAGGAGAAAGATTCTCATTGCTTCCTTCATCATTGTCTAATGTGTTGGACCTAATGTAACAAACATAATAACACAAAAATAATATATTGTAATAAATCTATAGAAATAACAATCAATAACATGAGAAAAATAAAACATATTAAGATTTATATAAAAAATCTTCTAGTGTAAAAGAAAAAAATCACGAACCACAAAAAAAAAATTTCACTATCAAATAATAAATATACAAAACTCTTTATAATTAAAACTAAAATTAATCAACAATTAAAGAAACAATCGAAAAAATCTCATTAAATAGATAACTTAATAAATATATCTTGAATTTATTTTAGAGAGCTTCAAACCCAATCTCTACTATTCAAAACATAGAATTCTAAATCATAAATTTGTTGACCAAATTTTAACTCAATCAAATTATAGATCAACTTTACGTTCAACTAATTTTTCCTTCTCCCTTTTCTCTTTATTTTGTTGGCTTTTTCTTTTTTTTTTTATCTTTTCTCGGCTTGCAGCGCCACTCTCCTTTTTTCACGCCTAAAAACTGTCTACTTTTCTTTTAATATGTAAGGCTCTTTCTAGGGTCAAAGGTAACAAGGCTTTAGCCTAACACAATGAAAGCCACTACCAAATTGGTGGTGCAAGCTTAATACGAATGAGTCATCCTTAGGTAATCCAGGAAGTGTGGGAACAAGGATGCTAGTTAGAAACCATGTTGGTGACTGAGTAATAGGGTCTGCCAGATATATTCCCAAGGCTACTAGCATGGAAGCTAAACTATGAGCACTGAGAGATGGTTTAAAACTTGCTTTGGAGGCAAGAATCATATTTCTCGAATTGAACTCGACGCTACCTCTGTCATAAACCTTGTGAAAAATATTCATAGCATGAATCATCTCTTTAACACACTAGTTGATGACTGCATGATGTTGTTGAGGAGTTTTCAGCTGGTAGTGATGAGATGCACTTTTCGTGAGGGCAACAAATGTGCTGATGCACTTGTAAGAAGGAGGAGTGCGCTGGTTTGACAACCCCATTCTAGTTCTAGTTACACCCGTTTATTTGAAACTTTTTATGTTCAACCGGACTTTCTAACCCCCATCCTTAGGGAGGAATTTGATGGGGTGGTGTTGTGTCGTTCTTGATTTTAATGCTATTTTTGTTTCCTTTCTTGACCAAAAAGTAGAAAAAAAAAGGTAGATCATTCACTTTTTATTTTATGCAGTGGATCTATCTATGTTTTTGTACTAGTCTATGTTGATTATATCTTGAACTAACTTGCAAGTCATCAACCACATAAAGAAAATTCTTTTAAGCCAACTTCAAATAAAGGATCTATGACCTCTAAGATATTTTCTTCGCATTGAAGTGGCTTGTTCGAAGCATGGCATTTATCTGTGTCAACGAAAATATGTTCTTGACATCCTTAAGGACACTGGACTTACTGTGGTAGAACAGCTGATCATCTAATGGAACAAAATCTCAAAACTCAACGATACCAATGGTTTCCTTCTATTAATCATCATTTTGTGGGACGACTCATTTACTTGACTATTACCAGACTTGATATCACTCATTCTGTGAATTTAGTCAGTTCATGCATCTCCCTCGCAAGCCTTACCTTGATGCTGCTTATCATTTATTGAGATATTTAAAAAGTACTCTTGGGTAAGGTTTTCTTCTTTCATCTTTGGGTCCTTTTCAGCTTATTGCTTATTGTGATTCGGATAGAGCTAGTTGTCCTATGACTCGACGTTCAACTACAAGTTTTTGTATATTCCTTGGCTCTAGTTTGATTTCTTGGAAGAGTAAGAAGCAATCTACAATTTCTAATTCGTCAGCTGAAGCCGAATATCGTTCCATGGCTAGCAATAGTTGTGAAATTATTTGGTTGCATTCTTTACTCACAGATCTTGGTATTACATTTTCTTCCCCCACTCCACTTTATTGCGACAATCGAGCTGCGCTTCCTATTGCTGTTAATCCAGTCTTCCATGAGAAAACCAAACGTATTGAAATTGATTTACATATTGTTTGTGAGAAGTTGCAACGTGGTTTGCTCCAACTACTTCCCATCACTACCCAACGACAAAATCTTTAAGCAAGGAACGTTTCTTCTTTCTTTGTGGCAAGCTAGGCATTCTGGACCTACATGCTCAAATTTAAGGAGTTTTAGACCAAGGAAAATTCTCCGTTCACTATAATTGTTTGTTCCAACTTGATAGACATAGAGATAAAAATAGACTAGACATAGAAATAGATATAAACTAGCATCTTTATTTTATCTTTTGTCTTATCCCTTTAATTCAGTCTTTATAATTGAGATATGAATATTAAGAACAAAAAACTTTCTTTTGTTCGAGTTACTACTTGGGAAAGGGTGAGGGCGATCGCCTCTCAAAGTGCTTTAAAATTTTTTAGATAGGTCAAATATTATAATCTGGTCCTTCTTAATTTGATTATTCACAAGCTAAAGATTATAATCTCATTGATTTGTTATTTGGTGGACATGGGTGCATTGTTGCCAATTCCAGGTTAAATTATGTTTAAGACAGAAATCATTGACTTATTAATTTTTCAAGAGGCATGAAAATATTAATCCACAAACAAGTGTATTACCTTTTAAATATTGTATAATATTGCTTCATATATATATATATATACACACACACATTGTGTTTTTGCTTCGAATATATATTTATATATGCGTTTAGCATAAATAAAATGTAACCCTTAATATTATATATCATTACATCAAGTTTGAATCTAGGTTACTCTTCAAAGCATTATTACATATTATTTTCATCAAAGAAAATGTTATCACTCTCCAAAACGCTCTTATATTTCTCTTACATTTCATCGGCTATTTATCACTTATCTCATTTTACAACAAAGGCATAACAGGCAGACCCTTTTTTTTTAACTTTTGATGGATTTTTTAACATTGGAATATTCGTTTTTCATTAAATTTCATATTTAATGCATTGTTAATATAAAATATCATTAATTTTTATGCATTGCCCGCATTTCATTAAAATTAACGTGGGTTTATAAAGATTTTTCTAAATTAACTGTGACGAGAATTTTTTTAATAAAATTATAAATATAAAAAGGTTACAATTATAATAAATATTATTATGTTCATATAAAAGAAATCATTAGATTAAATTAAACAAACAACTAATCAATAAATAAGCAAATATAATTAAATAAATTCAACATGAAATTAGATCAAATCCACACAAAATAAAATTTAAACCTAGAACTCTAAAATTTCAGGTCTCCCCTTGCGGCCTCATTGCCATATATAATTAGATTTTGGTAGTGTCATTTTCCTTGCTATCTCACAATCTTTAACTTGTCTTTCTGTCCTGATAAGAGCGATACACAATTTAGGGCCCGCGAATTTGTCTATAAATAAGAGTCGACTGCTGCCTCAGAATTCATAACTAGCCTCACTTCCTCCACTTTGCAAGCTCTCTCTAATTTCTATCTCTCGACCTTATGGCCAACACTAATACAGCTTCAGCGCTCACGCACTCTCCTGTTCTAAAAAGCGAGACCTGTTCCTTCCCTCAAAAGGAAGACGGTCTCGATTCCATTAATTACTCAATTTTAGGTGTAAATGATGCAATTCCCATCATTGACTACTCCTTGCTTACCTCTGATGATCCTGTTCAACGTTCCCAAGCCATTCAAAACCTTGGAAAAACATGCATTGAATACGGCTTCTTCGCTGTATGAATAAATTTTCTCACTATTTTTTTTATATGCCATATTCACAATATTTACAGAATACTCAAAGCCCTGTATAGCAGTAACGGTTTCTTCCGAACATTCATTCATGACGATTGCTGCACTAGATTTAATGCATGTTTCGTGGATTAATAAGTTTGTTATTAATAGTGGAAACTTAATAATTTGCATGGATTTTAATGTATTTAGATGTTATATTGGCAGGTAATCAATCATGCAATACCAGATAGTGTGATTAATGGTACGATGGAGGCGCTCTTGAGGTTTTTCGATCTACCTGAAGAGAAGAAACTGAAATATGAAACCAGCAATTCGACGGATAAGATAAGATGGGGAAGAGGGGATGTCCACCATGTGAGCCGGGAGTTTTTCAAGATTGCCTCTCATCCTCAGTTCCATTGCCCTATTCACCCCGATGACTTAAGGTACATATTATACAACCGTACGCAAGTTCTTCTTAACAGAAGAAAATTCTTATTTAGAGTATTACAAAATAGAAGTTCGAATTTCATTCATATTTGTATATGTCAAGCATTATGACTTGATAAATATTTATTAATTTTCATCCTTGAGTGCATTAACAGGGAGATTTTACAAGAGTACAGCGAAAGATTGAGGGAAGTGGGAATTAATTTACTAAGAGGGTTTTCAAAGTCTTTGGGACTTGAAGAATCTTATATAGAAAAAGCAATGGATTTGGAATCGGGCTATGATTTCTTCACTGCAAATGACTATCCACCACGTTTTTCTGCTGCAAACATTATTGGTCAATTTCCTCATAATGATCCTGGTCTCCTAATCCTTCTTATGCAAAATGTAAGTGGGGGTCTCCAACTTGAGCACAAGGGAAAATGGCTCAATGCAAACCTCAATTCCAACTGGATTATCGTTAATCTCGCTGATCATCTTGAGGTCCATTCCAATTCCCTTATCTTCTTTCCTTTCAGATTCTCTTTTTTCTAATGCTTTTCATTCTCATTTGAATAATGGTTTCATCACACTTACCATAATTTCGAGACAGATTTTAACGAATGGTAAATATAAGAGCACCATTCATCGTGTGGTTTTGAACAATGAAGTAAGGAGGGTGACTTTTCCTTTATTTTTGGGACCATCACTGGAGGCAGTCGTGAGCCCTGCACCTGAATTTGTAGATGACAACCATCCCTCTGCATATCGTGGAATGACCTACAAAGACTATTTAGAAGCCAACCAGCACCATGTTATCGACGGAAAGTCATGCCTCAAACAGATTCGACTAATTTAAGTTATCATAATTGTCTCCAAGGCGACCGATTACTGCTTTATAATAATAATTAATATGTATCACAAAATAAGATGCAGTAAAGTTTGTCTTAGTCTAGTGGTTAAGGATATTTTAAGAAAACACAGAGGTTTTAGTTTTGATCCCCTTCCCTTGGGCTATGTCCATCCTACGTATCAAAATAAAGTTTGAATCTGTCTGCTATGTTATGCAATGAAATGTTTGAATCTCCTCTCATCCTTCGGAAAATATTTGAATAATTAATTTGTAAGGCTTTTAAGTACTTGGATAAGCAGCACTTAATGTGTAAATAGGGATTGGATTGATCTCTTTGCACATTGAAGAGACCAATCTATTGTTCTATTCTTTTATTTTCTCCCGAAGCATACAGGATAAATATTCCCCATAAGAAACATGAGAGTAGAGAAGGGCTGTCCGGGCATGGGTTAAGGCCTGACTTGAAGCAAAGGGTTAAAGCCGGGCTTGCCAAACTTTGTCGAAGAGTCCAGCATATACTGGTTAAGTTTACTTGACGTTTAAAACAGAGTGGATTTGATTTTAAACATTGTGACAACCGAAACCCGAGTGTACAGGTGGTCGAAACACCGCACCCACGAAGTGAACCCCATGAACATGCGAGGCTAAAACAAATTACTCTAAATTCTATATATTCCAAAACATACCTCAAACCTTCATTAAGAACATACTAAAATATTTAAAACGTCTATTATAAAAATCTCGATCTGAAAATCCAAAAAACCACAATAATATGACTCAATAACAAGGTCTAAAACATGATAATAAGCATGACTTGATAACTTGAGAGTGGCTGAATCGAAACAAATTAAACCAGAGACAACTCGAACCCATAATAGTTTTATTGTCAAATATAAAATAATTCAAACTCAAAATTATGTGAATCCCACATAATCCAATCCAAATAAATGCAAATTTGGAAACACTAAATCTCGAAAACATATTCATCTGAACCTAAGTGATTGCCACTTTTAAAAGGGCACTAAAAAAAATGCCCACGTGATGCTGTGGGGGTTTTTTTTTTTTTTTCTGTTTTTATTCATCGCATTTTTTTTTATAAAATTTATTTAATTAAAAAAATAAATAAGACAAAGATTTAAAAAAAAAAAACGGAAATGACACATGAGTGTCTTAATTGATCTTATTTTTTCATAGAATCTATCCAATAAAAAAATAAATACCAAAAACAAAAAAGATTCAAAATAGTTAACAAAAGGAAAATGAATAGAAAAACAAAAATAAGAAAAAAAAAACTTCATAAAAGGTGTCACATTAACATTTCATATTGAATTTAAAATATTAATTAATTAAATTAAGATAAAAAATAATTTTATTAATATAATATATATGTATAAAATTAAATAAATAATAAAATATATACTTTTATATATCCCTTGAAATAAGTCATGATAAAACATCCTAAATATATTTCTAACCTAAACTCGTTTCTTATTAAAAAAACCTCGACCTATCTCAAAGTATATTATTCGAAATAAATTGACTAAATATCCACTTGATCTGTCTTAAGAAAAATATTACAAACATTTATAAACATTTAAAAAGAATAAATAAAAATTATAAAGAAAAAAGAGATTAAAGGGAAGAAAATAACTTGATATATATCACACCCTTGGTATCAATGAGACCAAAAAATTAAATCTTAAAAATATTTATAAATATATAAAAATAAAAAATAATAGAAAAAAAACGTACTACATACTCTTAATATTAATGGGTCTCATAAAAATTAAATTTAAAATCTTGAAAAAAATATGGTTTAAAGTGAATCTCACTTTTAAAAAATAAAATCCATAAAAAATATTTATTAAATATAAAAAATTTTAACAAAAATAGTAAAAAAAAATTTTTTAAAAAAAAGCAAAAAGCAATTTGACGTAAATTTTGATTATGTACGGGATATGCTTAATTAATTAGCTGCTAGCCCCAGCCTAACACAAAATAGAGTGCTTTAAAAGCAAGCCCAACATGAACATATCCCTTATTGTTCAGGCATGAGGCTTTCCAAATGGGCTCTATTATACGGCACGACTTAGAGTCTGCGGTCCATGGTCAGGGAAGAAGAGCCGATCCCTAGGCTGGGATTGGGCCCCAGCTCCACAAACCAAAGCAAATACCAGCTGAAAGTGTTGTGAATTCTGATTGAATTGAATGATTCAACGATCCATACAAAGTTTGCATCATTTTTGTTTTAATTTCTCTTTTGGGTGGAAGCTGATGTGTTTTCTTCTTTTGACTTGTACAAATTTGAAGAGATATAGCTGTACTGATATTAACCCAAAATTTTAATTATTAATTTTAAGTAATGATGACCAAGGTGATTCTATCATATATCAATTATTTGGGCATATATGTCATAATTGCTAACTGATTATACTACTCTTTCAATCAAAGCTGTCGTGTCCTCTTTCTTTCTAGAAAAAAGTATAAAAAGTTTTTTTAAGAAAAATTTAATTATAAATAAGTTGTGTAATTTTTTAGATTAAAATAAAATATATTATATCTAATAACTTAAAATAAATAATTATAAATTATATATTTAAAATAATCTCAATAAATAATTATCAATAAAATTTAAACTCAAAATCTTTTTATAAAAATAAATAAATCTAACTAATTGAATTACTATTTATTGTTAAAAAATATTAAACTTATCGACATGACAACCATCCCTACGGAAGTAACACCTAAAATTTTACAACGTATTCTATCTTTTTGTTTACTTTACTACTTACCATGTATTAAATGGTTCATACTTATCCATAGCCCCATAAGAATCTTAAATCAGCCTCTAATTATTTTTTAGACAAAAGATTCAAAACAATTTTTAACAAAAATTCAATAATCATTTAAATTTATAATATTTTATTATAATAAATTAAATTTTTTATTTTTTATTTTGAATTAGTTAAATTTTTAAATATTTATTTTCATCAAATTAAATATTTAAATATTTATTTTCATCTCAATTGAGTTTTTTATTAGACAAAATATTTTCATCTAATTTAATATAATAAAACTTAATCGATAAAACAATAAAATAAATATTTAAAAACTTAATTTATTACATAAAAAATTTAAATGAATATTAAATTTTTGTTCGAATTTTTTTAACCTTTTAACTTAGTTTTTATAAAACTTTTTATTAAAGTTAAGCCAACTTTTCTTCGGCCCATAAAAGCCTTGGGCTTGGCGTGGTTATACAAATTTATAAAATAAAAAAATTAATATATGATTTTGAATAATAGTTTATTTTCATTCACTATCTTTGAAATACAAGTTTTCATCCACAAGTTTTTTTGAATGTTCTAGTATTTCAACAATGATCATTAAAATTTGATTAAATACCTTTAAGGATGTCCGCATAGCTTCCTTTGACTTTTGGGACAAAAGTTGATGCCATATATGAAAATCTACAGAGTATTGACATGACATACTATTTTAAATTTTTAATAATGATCGATAAAAATAAATAAATTTAAAACATTTTAAAAAATAATGGATGCAATAAATTAGTTTTAAAAGTTGAGGATGAAAATAAAAAATTATGTAAAAATTATGAATGTTTGGCGTATTTTACTCCAAATTTATATATAAAAATTAGGTTAACAAGGCTTATAGACACTTCTTATATATATCATTTGTTAAATTTTTGTTTTAAAAAATGACCATTTGTAATTCTTCCAAAAAGAATTAATTTTTCATTACGCACCAATCTTTCTTTGCAATATCTTGAATATCAGTTTATTTATATGTCTTTTGAATTTTTTTTATCAATACAGTCCTTAGAAATAGATATCCATAGCATTGTTTTTTTTTAATAAAAGAATCATTTGTTAATAGAATATTAGATTCGATTTTTTTATCTGCCATATCATTAATTTTATTTTAATTATATACAATTTATAAGAGAGAAATGATACCAAAAACAAAGTCTTCTAGAAGAAAATTTTAAAAGATGGAATTTAATTTGATTTTCTATATAATAAATAGAGAAAAATGAATAGCAAGTTGAGAAATTTTGAATTTCAAAATACAGCTTAAAATAAAAACAAACTTTGATAATATTTAATAGAATGCAAACAAATTAAGAAAAGATTAAGAAATTTTGTGATAGAATAAGCCCAACAAAAAGATAATATCATGGTAGGAAACAAAGATTTTATTTAATGGTGGGACAAATAATAATACGCCAAAAGACTGAATGGGCGACGACTTCCTTTCCTTGACACATCAACTTCAACCTGTCGTCGTATTAAAGTAATACAACATTGTATCCCATTCTTTTCCACCAAGTTGTCCCTACGTAATGAAATTTCCTTGAAGATCTTGCAGTGTTGTTTCTTTTTCTTCTTTCTACCTCCACCAGATTGTTTAAACTTGCGGTCCCTACAATGAATTCCATAATATTTTTATCGGGTATTAACCATTTTCAAATACCAGTTCTAGTTCTCCAGGCAAAGTCCTTGAAATTGCGCCCCCTCTCCCCCACCCCCCACGTGTGGCTGCAACAACGTTGACACGCTAAGCATTTGTTCATGTTTTCTCCAATCTTATTTCCCAAGTATGCTTTATTAGTCTTCGTGGAAAATTTGGGAGCAGTGTGAATATAATATTTGATTTTTTTTTTTTATAATATGGTCAGAGACGTCTAAGTTTATATTTGAGAAACTGAGCCTATTTTTTTATTAGTAAAAGTTAATAATGTAAACAAATCAAATTATTAATGAGTTATTTGAATTTGATTAAAAAAATTATATTTGATTAATTTTATTGTAATTGTTGAATCAAATTCGAGTTCAAATTATTTAAATAATGAATTAAGTTTAATTCGAATAATTTAATCTTTAATTTTAAATATTCATGAATCTAATTTATTTTTATTTTATTTATTAATCTTAATTGAGTAAACTTTTACAGTTTAATTAAATTATAAATCGAATTCAACTATGATAATGTATTAATTTTTTTTCTGTAAGAAAAATTTAGAAATAGATAAATTATTCAATCTTTCAATTTAAGATAAGATGTACCGTACCAACAGCTTAAGATAAATATCTGCAAGTTATATATTCGAGATGACTCTAATTACCGGTGAAACTCAGACCTAAAATTTTTTTGTCAAAAAAAATGAGCTTAATCAATTGAATTAATCACTCGTTGATAATGTATTAATTTAATTTCATAGAATTACACTTTTTCACGGCTAAACAAACTAGAATAAAAAAGGACTTAA